TTTAATTGAATACCCTGAGACTTTTAGAGACTTATTAAAAGTCATTAAAAGTCTCAATTGAATACATGTAAACTTTTCAGAAGTCTTTAAAAGTTCTAATTGAATACACCAAAATTCTAAAAGTTTTAAAAAGTCTCTAAAAGTGAAATTGAATACAACCCCCAAATATAAATTTTGCATAACTTACATGCAAATATGAATTACTATATTTATGATAATAAATAATATATTTTTTTATAAATTTGCAAAAATTATTAATATTGTTGTTGTTGTTGTTAACTTTATTTTTATATTGTTTATTATTTCTGTGTGTTTTCTGATATCTAAGGGTGATTATTCAAGACAAAATGCAAAACCATCAAACTTTGAAAGCCTAATAATACAACAGGATTCACTCAAAAACTCTGAAGCTCAGATCCTCCTCAACCCACAAAATCACAAAAATTTATGTGCCACACAAAATATACTCTTCTTATCAACAACAGTTAAGCTTTTTATATAATTTACAGGTTATCATGCAAACCGGTTCGCCTCGAAACCGAACCAAACTCCTTACACAGCTGGCGAACCGAACCAGTCCTCAATTTTCCAAACCCGGTCCAAACTCCGCTCTCAACAATCAGGAAGCGAATGTGTCGAGGCAAACGGTGAAAAGCTCGTGGCTGACTCACTATAATGCAATGGGCCGGGCCTTCGGCTTGAAGACCCGACATAGCTCGACGGGCCGTTTAACGGGCTTGGAATGTACGGCGACATATATCTCGAATTCATTGGTGACAAAGAAGGGTAGCCCAATGAGTGTGGGGAGATTAAATACGGACCACCGTGTGACCTTTGAGATGATGACATGTTCCTGAGGTCAACCGAGCTCCGGCTCGAGCCGTGGTTGAAAGGGGTGGAGGAGATTGAGGGCGGCCCGGAGGGCCCGATTTGGATTGCGGATGATCGAACGGAGGAGGATATGAATGAGGAGGATTGGGAAGCTGGAGTTGAGGATAGCAAAGGAGTTGATTCGGATGCGGGTGGTTCGCCGGTGGTGGTTCGAGCGTCACGTTTGCAAACGGGGCAAAATGTTCGCCATGTTGTCAGCCAGGCATCGACACATATAGCGTGAAATTCTGGCGAAAGATAATAATAATTAAGATAAATAAAGATTGGAATTGAAAAAAAAAAATCAATATATGTGGATTACTAACAACTTTGGCCATCTTTCATAGAGAATTGTTGATTGTATGACGAACGAAAAGGACACTAAATCGGTAGAAGGGCTAACTACAGGATTTACCAAAATACACACATTTTTAGTTTTAGTGAATAACAGACGACAACCAAAATGTCTTCCGAAGTCACCAATTCCCCCAAGAGAATTTGTTTATGTCATTTAACAAGTGGAAGGAGTAGTTGTAGTTTTGGGAGATAAGTTCTTTTGTGGTTTAGGTTAAAGTTTAAACCCAAGAGACTTTTTCTAGGCTATATTGCAATTTTATTTTAGTCGTGATGGTTTAACGTCATAGCATGTTTAATACCAAGATTCTATCACTTCACCTTTTGGTCATGTGATTTAATATATATTTTGCTGCAACCAATGACTGAAATTGTAACAAATTCCAAAATTTATAGATTTTTTATTAGCAATTTAGGTCCTACAATTTAAAATTTTGTTGCAATTTCAGTCTTGTAATTTAAAATTATGTTTCAATTTAAGTAAACTGAAATTACAGCAAAAATATCATAGGACCAAAAGGCAAAATATTGGAAACTTGAGACTAGAATTTCTGCGACGTTAAACCAAACAAGACTACAATTGCATTTTAGCTCATTATTTAATAGTTAGCTAAAAAAATGTTGGAGAAAAGGAGTGCCCTTTCTTCTACGTAAAGCCAAGACCAAACGTAGAGAGAGATAGAGAGACAGAGAGAGAAAGAGAGAGAGAGAGAGAGAGAGAGAGAGAGAGAGAGAGAGAGCTTACTGTGGCGACAAGGAAGAACTCTAAGCCTTTCCCCCATGCTGTAATCCTCGAGACAGATGGCGCATGTAGCAGAAGTACAGTTGTCCTCCAAAACGGCCGTAAATATAAGGCTCGGCATGGCCTTCACCAAACGACTGCTCATGCCGTGAAACTCACGCACGCGTGTCGCCTGAGGGCGTTCTCGTCTAATCCGGTGCCTCCGGACAAAGAAACACGTGGCTAACACAGCTGACATGGCAAGCAAAGAGATGAAAGAAATAGCCATGATGGACCAAGCTGAGTTTTCGAAGGTGGGGACCACCCATAGCTCCACGTCAGCATTGCCCACATAGTTTGAAAGTGTTTCACCGGCTGATTTGGAGACGAAGACCGCGTGTATCTTTATGCCAGCTGAATTTCCAGCCACTGCAAAGTCCAATGTCAATGTTAATTAGTGAGTATATAGGTCAATGTGTTAAAAAAAAAAACGGCAAATGTATAATCAAATTGAATTGTATTAATGTTGAAGAGATTCTTTGTCGAAGATGATAAATTAGGGCTAAAGCTAGCTGATAAGAAGTGATTTTCGAGCTTATAGGTTATATCTTATAGCTGAAAAGCTAGCTTATATGATAAGTGTTCGGTAAAATTAGCTGATAAACTAGCTGAAATAAAAATTTCAACGAGCTTATTTGAAAAGCTACCTAAAGAAACTTATGAGATAAGCTCGAGTTTTTTAAAAAAGCTCGTCCTACCTAACGAAGCTTATTTGAATACAAGAATTTTATAAGCTAACCAAATAAGCTATAAGCTAGCTTATATCGTTTCCAAACACAGCGGTTGGAGGAAAAATGATAGAAGAATGGGATGCCAATAAAAGCAAAAAGAAAAAAAGGGAAAAAAAATGATCTGATTTAGAAACTGAAAGTTACCACAACTAAGAAGGATTGTATCTAAAGGATGTTTACACAATTTTATGCTAATCATTGAAGCTAATTTTGGTGAGTTTTTATATCTTCACCAGACTACATTGAAGAGTCTATGGTAGGGAATGCAGAAACACAAGATCTTCACTCACAAGTTAAAAAGTGGAATTTTACAGATCTCGGAAAATAAAGAATAATGTGATGATTCAAAAGGAGCTATCCATGTATCGTAATATTCCTCCCAGACAAATCAAGCGTAAAAGTCATGGAGTTAATTACGCAAAGCAGCCAGCCCAAATTATTTTCCCAAAACCAAATACCCGATTCACATGTGTTTCACTTTTATAACAAATGACCCAATCATCTTTTATGATTCTGAAAACTAACCAGAGTTTTGTAGTGATTAGGCTACAGTTAGGGTAGTTTGCAATTAACGCAAAAATTATGGTCCATGAAAACAGTAAACGAAATGTACGAAGATTTTGGAGGAGAAAACGTACTTGCAACCAAGTCACCGTTTTCATTGTTGTAAACAATGGCTGCTTTGAAACCTGCAGCTTGTGCTCGTCTGACTTTATCATCAAAGCTACATCCTCCCCTTGTTATCAACACAAACATTGGATTTGTATTCGATTGATTTACTTCCAAAGCAACTTTGTTAGTTAACTTCGAGCATGCGTCCAAAGGCTCAGCAACGGATAACGTGCCGCATAAGCCGGAGCCTTTAACCGATGGAGCTGAAACCAAGTATATATTTAATTATTTATATCAAAAGTAGACAATAGCATATAAAAGAAACACAGAAAAAGATACAAATTTTTTCCACTAATTGGAATATTATATCGACAAAATCCAGCTAAATTAAAGCAAAGTTATAGATCCCAGAAAACAGTTATAGATTCAAAAATTCCAAAAGGAAACACCAAATGAAGCTTCAATTTTGCAGAACTTTAACAATTCAACAAACTAAACCACAGCAAGAACTTAAATCAAGAAAATAATGAACAGATTCACCAGTACAGAGATCACACGAATCAGATCAACAAAATCCTATAAAACAACATCAATTTAATCAAACAAAAAACAACCTTTTCACCACCCAGATTCAAGATTCACAAATACAAATAACAAATAGTCCTCACACAACACATAAGAAGATAAATTCAAAACTAACCAAAATTAGCTTCAATGTCCTCGAACGACAAAGTAACGTTTTTCCCTATCAAAACCACGTTCCCATAAGCGGTAAACGCACCCATCAAAGTCAAAAGACAGCAGAACAACACACGAAAGCTGAACATTCCTATAAAAACCATAAAAATCTCAACTTTTTTTTTTTTTTTTTTTCAAATTTGACAAAAGCCCCTGAAACTGAAACCCAAAAAAGATTTGTTTTTTATCAACCCAAATTTCTGAAAAAAAGGGTATTTTTTGTTTTTTTTTTTGTTTTTCTCAACTACAAGAAAATCGAAACGTCGGCTTCCATGCTTCAACTGTGGATTATGGCGGTCCGATGGCTGATTTTTAGGGCTTTTGGATTTCAGATTTAATCGAGCTTTGTATTTTGGCTTTGGGCGTGTTATTGAAGAGAGAGAAACAGAGAAATTTTGTCAGCTATAAATGTAGAGAGATGTGTGTCCTTTTCTGTGGGTGTGCTGTAATGATAATCTTTGCATCAATATCTGTCCCCAAAAATATATATATATAAAATTCAAATACATTAAATAAAATTAAAAAAAAAAACATTTTTTTTTAACAAAACTATGTAAAAAATAAATAAAATAAAGAGAAATGCTACAATCATGTTACGAAACTATTCCGTCAAAATTGTAACCGTTATATCATCATATAATCGTCGTGAATAATTGATCTAATGGTTATGAACCCCGACGAAATAGTTTCATCACAAGACCGTAGAATTTCCCTCTACCAACACTTTTTTTCTTTTCCTTGTATCTTTTTAGGATTTCAATTTTTTTAAAATGGAAATAATATCAAGTTAAATTTGTCCCATTTTTAATATGAATGCTAGTTTTTTTTCTATATTAAGTTCTCATGAACAACCAACGACTATAAGGATGTATAAAAAGAAAATGATCAATTATTAAGATTATCATGGACCACAAAATATTTTGTTAAGATTTGTTTCTCATACTTTATTAAAAAAAAAACATATTTATACTATATAAAATATCATGTTCATGCTATTTTTTAAAAATGTGATATTTAAATATAAATATATATATATAAATATATATTTGTTTAAAAAGATATAGCTGCTTAATCATAAGTAAGTCAGCATGTTGATGACTAATCATGGAATTAGGTGAATCACAAGCTGAAATTAATTGATCACATCTTATCCAGTGAAGTTAATGCTCAAAGATGGGCCCACATAGCACATGAGAGCGGGTGAGACTGTGAGCTGCCTTGGAAGTGGGTCACTTAGTCAAACCAGTAGCAACTTAATTCTATGGGCCCATTAAGAGTTATTCAAGTTTGCTTATTATCTATATTACATATGTAGTTTTATCCAAAATCTTGTAGCAACCTTTTTTCTTGAAGATTAATGAAGGACTAAAGCTAATTTGAGTCTGCTAGGGCTGCAAATGAGCCGAGTCGAGTCGAACATTGATCTTTTCGAGCAGAATTAATTTTTTTATTTAACTGCTCGAGCTTGAGCTCGTCAAGCTTGACTCGATAAATAATTACAATAGCTCGAGCTCGACTCAAAATCAAAATGCACAAGCTCGGGTAAAAAACTTTTAAGTGGAAAGATAAAATTATCATTAAGTACCTATGCTAACTATTATATAAGGAGTATTTTAGTAATTTAACATATATCTCGAGCCGCTCGACGAGACAAAATATGAGCTCAAGCTCGATTTGAATCAAGCTTTGACTCGAGCGCTCGCGAGCGGCTCAGTTCGTTTGCAGCCTTAAATTTGACATTGAGGTTGACCGAAAATGATAGAGCATTTTTAATAGTTGTTGATTTTACGTGTTATTATATCAAACATTATTATGTCATTCTTTATTTCACTGCAGCATAATTCTTAATAGTACCAACCCACTTGATACAAAAAAGGACAGACATCTTATAGATATATATAGGAATTTTTTCAATACAAAGCCTGTGTTGTTAAGCAACAATCTTTTATTTTTTTTTAAATTTGGTGTTTTAAAACTTCAAATTAACTCTCAATTTAATGGTTTTATGAGTGTTGTTAATTGTAAGACTTAATTTGATAGTTTTATTGCATTTAGGTCCCGAATTGAGAAAAAAAATCTTTCAGACCCAGGCACCAAATTGATAGTTTACCTATCTTTCAGGCCTTGTATTGAAAAAACTCCGATATATATAATATCAGAGACGAAAAAAGAATTAACACTTATAAAAAAAAAAAAAACAGTTTAGAACAAACAGCTCAGAGTAATAAAAACATTCAATAGCAAGAAATATCCAATTACAGCAGCAGTATGAGAAGCTCTTTTCCCTCTTTCAAATTCGAGTATAAAGACGTTGAAATCAACTACCTATACAACAATGTTGAAAAATGAAGCATCGCATAAATTAACAAGAAAAAGGTTAACGAAAACGAAACGGGAGCATCTCCGTATCATTGGCACAAAGATAGGATTTTCAAGCATTAACTAAGGTCTCCTCCACATTCAGCTCAAAATTTATCATCTTCTACCTGAAAATGGTTGAATAAATCTATCATATTACCTTCATGTCCTAACCCACAAAGGTTCCAAAGAGAAAGGCCTCTCGTTTCTTAGTTGAGCGGCTGCCGCCCCTGAAGAAGGTGGTGCATGCACAGTAATCGGAAGAACCCATTCGCATTTGTCCCTTCCTTCTATCAGAAGAGGATGCTCAAACCTGAAAAAAAA